TTAGAATCTTTCCATGACTAAGATTGAGACTTAGTCTCCATGCAGAGACATATTACCCATTTTCTGACTTCAGCCATGGATCTGATCAACTCCTAGAGGCTGAGAGTGGAGCTGTGTACATAACACCCTACTAGAGAAGTAGCTGTGTGTGTGTGTGTGAGAGAGAGAGAGAGAGAGAGAGAAAGAGAGAGAGAGAGAGAGAGAGTGTGTGTGTGTGTGTGTGTGTGATGTCTGTTGTGATGTTGACCAAGAGCGAGTGTGGGATAATTTCCCCATATCCCCATGGCACCCATTAATGCAGAGGTCAGTCACCTATTGGAATCAAACTATTGGAGTCAAAGGCTAGGTGGTACCCAGTAGTTGTCTTGTGCCATCATTCCTTCTCTGAAACAACAGTGCAAGGAGAGCAACATAGGGGAATAAACACAGAAGAAGGTGGTGTCTGAGGGGCTTCAGAGGGCCTTTTGGTGGGTTTTTGTTTGTCTATTTTTATTTGTAACCCACAGTAAGAATGCTCATGTCTAGTGGCTCTGTTCCAACCCATCAGGAAGCTTTCTGAAATTCCTCATCTCTCAAATGATAAAATGGTGACAATACGAAATCACAGTTCTGGCCACATTGTGCTTGCAAAGGGTTTTTTTTTTTTTTTTTTTTTTTTTTTTTTTTTTTGTAGCATAGTACTTTTTAGGACTTCTCTCATTGGATGGCAGATCTGTTTGCTTATGGAGCCAAGAAACAGCTCCTGGAATTATTCAGAATAAGTGTAATCTGCCATCTACATTAACAGTCCTTCAAATGCTTGAAGCCAGATCTCATGAATTTAATAACTGCTTTCCCTGTGGCTTTTTTTTTTAATTTCAAGAATAGACCATAAAAATGAGTGTTATCATTCTTCCCTTGGATTTTCTATGTAAATGTTGCTTAACATTTAAATGGTGCTGATTATAATTTGAGATATTAACAGATATGCCATTGTGTCCCTTCTGTTATTGTTTGTAAAGGAGGTTAAACACTGTATTAACTTCTGAGTAGTGATTTACTGTTGTTTTGTTAGAGAAAATAAAAAAGAAGTAAAATAATACAATTTGATATTGCCTTTGAGACTTTTCTGTTTATGAAGCTCTTTATTTCCCCCTCAATTTTTTTTTTCTTAAAGAGCATAGATGTATGTAAATACAGCATTGCACAGATTTGGAGTTGTTCTTTTCTCCTGGCTTATACTATTGTGTAATATTGCTCTATAACCATTAAGCAGCTGCTATGCCTCAAAGACGGGCAAATTTCCTTTGGTACATGAAGTGAGTTTACTCTGAATCTCTCCACATTACTTGAAGATATCTGGCCTTTGCATTAGTCATTGAGATTTACAGTTGACTGTGTATCAAGTGAAACTGTGCCTCTTTACGTCTCCATGGTAGGGAGGCTACAGCAGGTTTTCTGGCCTTAGCAGTACCATGGTATTTTGCTGAATCTCTGGCTCTATATTGCAGGGTTCTGGACCCACTATGAGAAAGATCCTTCCCAATTATTTGCCCATGTATTTGTCTTCTGTCTAATTGAGCAAGCACTAATTGTTGTCCAAGAGCTATGCCATCTACTCTTTTCAGTGTCTGTCTAAGGTAACTCATGTCCACTGCAAGGTTGTTCTGTGTGCAGAGACGCAGGCAGTGCCACTACAAAACTCTTCTACTCATCACCTGCTTCCCATCCATCAGCTTATTGTCAGTGGGCGTTATTACTGCTGTTTGGCAATGTTCCCTTCACTTGGATCTCTCTATGAGCTATGCGGGAGCAGAGCCCAGTGGGTCTTATAGGGTTACATTTTAAGAATTATGTTCTGATACATTTCCATTATTTTTCATAGTTTAGGTAAAGACAAATCTTTCATTTTTCCTTGCAGATTTCAATTTCTTATCACTATAGAATTATCATTGTTTTGTGTTTGCCTATTTTCCTGCATAAAATTAGTCTTGAGGTGGTTTACCCCTCCCTTGTGATTAGGCTCAGAGTGTCCCCATACTACCTGTCTCACTCCCTGTCATTTAGAAGCATATGGAGCCTTAGTTACTCATGGTTATGATGAAATCAGCTTAAGGTAATAACTATATTTTGAGATATTGTGTATTACATGTGATATAATTCACGTAAATCTTACTGTAAAACACTCTCTTATTCATTGATTTTAAATTATTTACATGTGTACATATGTGTACATACACACAGGATATGTATGCACACATACACACACCCCTATCAATTTTAGAGGACAACTTGGGAAAGCTAGTTCTCTCATCCACTCTGTGGGTCCTAGGGTTAAGATTCAGGTCGTCAGGCTTGGGGACAAGTGACTTTATCTACTGATCCATCTAACTGGCCCTCTTTCATAAATTTATATTGCAAGCATTTTTATGTTCCTTCTTGAATTCTTTGGTCATTAATTTATACTATATACTCAAAGTTACACATTAAAATACACCAGTACAAGGACTATAATCTGATCCTAATTGTTACTTTTCCTATTATACTCAGAGTCCAAACTTTTGACATTGTAACATGCCATTTCAAATGCATTGGGCCACATTCATAGCTATTTTGGGAGCCATGTGCTACAGAATAGACATGCCTGTAGCAAACAAGTTCCAGGGGGTGGTGGAGCCAGTGCAGTTACCAATCGGTTTTATGCCACCTATAGCTCTCTTGTTATAAGATTACTAAGCTGCTAATTTTTGACCTTGGTTTTAAAAGCTGAATTTTAAAATGCTGTACTGTGTTCATTTAGTAGTTACTCTATATATAGGCAATGAGTCAGTTGCTGAGGGAGATACGGTGAAAAACAAAACCTAGTCACTCCCCTAAATAAAGGAACTGATAATCCAACAATGAATTTAATACTTGAAAATAAATACCTTGGAAAATCTGAATGGTGTAAAGTGTAAAATTAGGACTAAGTAGGTGTGATGTGAGCACAGAGGATAGGGGTTATGTTTGTTCAGAGAGAGTCAAAGGAAATAGGGTGGGGGGGGACAGTTTGTTAGAATGTGTCGTCATTCATTAGGACATTGAGGGTTGAAGGCAGCACGTACAGAGAGGAGCCCTCCAGGCAGGAGCTGCAAAATAATACAGTGTATGGGCTTCATAGATGCTAAGTAACTGATGAGTGTGTGCTTGACATATTAAATATGTTACTGTCTATAAGATAAATTTTAATAAGATAGTCTTTAAAGTCTTTAAACAAAATAGCAAAACCCACAGGGGCCTGGAATATTAAAGCATCTCTGTCCCCATCTAGGCAACTGGAATCAATTTTCCATTTTTGCATTTATGACTTTTAACACCTTATAGAGTACTGGTTGCAGAGACATTTCTTAGTAATCTCTGAAACAAATTTAACCTAGTGAAGAACGAATTATTCAAGCGGTTTCCTAAAATAGGAGTGCATCAGCTAGGGACATTTTGTTATTCTCATATAAATGCATTGCTTTTTTCCAGAGTAGTGACTAAATTTGAGACATGGGCTTTATCATCAAATGCTCTGGGCTCTCTCTAAAAGGTGAACAGGCTGAGTATAAAGCCACGTGTGTGGCTCTTCACCTCACCCACCCACCAGTGCCTCTGCTGTGAATCCCTCTTAGGCATTCTAGGTGGTGGCTGAATTTTCTATGTAAAAATGTACAACTTATGTGATTTGAGACTGTTTGTGCATAGTTCAGTGTTGAGGTGTTGGCTCTGCTGGATCTTAATGTAGTGCCCACGTCTATGTAGTGGTCAGCACTGTTTTGAGACTGGGTTTCGCCTTATCAAACTCAGAGTCTTCTGCTTTTGCCTCCCGTGTGCTGGGATTATTGGTTTACCCGACCCTGTTTGCTTCTAGCATGAGTTTAATGTTTTACCTTGCCTTGCATTGATAATAACTGTGTGAGGCAGTTGATTTTTCTATCTCTCACATGTAGACATGGCCAACATCCCTTAGCTGGCAAACGGTGGCTAGGACTTACCTCCCAGATCTTTGACTTTGGTGGGTCTGTGTGACCACCCATGTGTCAGCTCCCTGCACAGAATCTGACCCTTGGCCAGTGATGAAGCTATGTGTGAAATCCAATCTAGTTATGGGTTCTGAGACTCTGGGTGTTTGAAATATTTCCTCTGTGAGCATTTCAGACTTTCATGCTTTCTGTGATTACACTCAAGATAAAAATAATTTTAAAACTTCTGGACACTGAGAGATGAGCTACCAAACAGGCTAGGGTTTCCTCAAGACCCTGAGCTGTGGACTGTGACCACTGTGGACCCTGTGTTTATATACGACCCTAAAGGCTAGGATTCACTGTCATTTGCTGAATAAACATCTGGTTCTTGAAAACAAAAAGGTGGGGAGGGGTATCCAGTGGGAGGAAGAGTAAGGAAAACCTTAAAAGTGGGCCAAGGAAACTGACAGTTTCACAGATTGAGGTTGGAGCATAAGGGGATTCACTGTGCCCCAGGCTTTGATTTTCTGGGAAGTGACCCTGGAGCAAGGCTGACAATTCTAGTAGCAAGAGCTCCCTTTTCTTTGGTCAGGGAAGGATTTGTGAAAGAAGGGTGGTTTTGAGAGATCTTTGAAGCATTTCCAACAAGGTGCTAATTGCGGTTGTGGTTTCCCTTTTTCTTTCTACCTCCCCCGCCCTGGTTCAGATGGTAGACTATGGCCTTCCAGGTGTTGTAGAGCGAGATGCATTCAGAGTGTGTCCCAACCTTCCTTCTCCATATAGCTGCCCTGGCAAATATGATCCTACCAATTACAAACTTAGGAAGTTAATGGGAAATCCCATGGGTTATTTATGCCATTTTTACTTCTTCCCTTTGAAAACAGACTCAGTCTGTATTCAAGCTCCGCCCTTACTGTCTTTAAAATAAGCACCCTTGGCTTTTGTACTGCCTTCAAAATGAACAAATTCTGGATTGTGACTGGCATTTTTACTCCCTGCTTATGCTGACATTTTCCCTTTGGTGTTTGTTTTCAGGATACCTTGAGGACAGTTTCGTAAAATCTGGAGTCTTCAATGTATCAGAGCTTGTGAGAGTATCCAGAAGTAAGTAAATTGTTTTCTTACTACATAAGTACACAGAATGATTAAAATCTTGTGTATTTTGAATCTTAGATACAGTATGACAGGTGACCATACAGAAGTGTTTGAATTTAAAATTCAATATTTAAAAAAAACCTCAAATTTCCTAATGAAGTGAATATATTATTTAATTTTATAAAACATTTTCATTCAACTCACTAAGGGGCCGTTCTTATTGGTCATCGTATTAGTATCTATTCAGTTCAGCTCTCTCTGTGACCATAGATGGGCATTTATATCAAAGGAAGTGTGATTAATTAAACCTACTCTGTGTTGTTATGATAACCCACATAAGTTTCCTGTAGATAAGTGCTTTTTCAGTTAAAACATTTTGGTGTGGGGGTGTTGTAGATACACAGGATATACACTCTCACATGCACTGTGTGAAGGGATGCAGAAATTAACTTTGCAGATTGTTCTTGGATATAGATAGAATGCATTGTTATTTCAAACAATGTCCAATTGTCTACATCAGTTACCTCACCTGAGGTGCCATTCTTGGTCAGCTGGGTTGGGCTTTTCTAGGTTAAACTCACCTGGCTGGCCACCTAAGTCAAGGAGAGGCCTCATTGGTTAACCAGCTCTTGTTTTGTTGCTAGTATGAGCAAATACATCTAAGGTGCCAGTATTAGTACGCTGGTGACGTGGAAGGAGAGGGCCTCTTCTCTGATTTAGATTGTTCATGTATTTTGAGCCATAGTTCCCAGTAACTCAGATTTCTCAACTTCCCAGGACAAAAACAAAACAAAAAGCCAGTTTAGCAGAGACTGACACATGCACACCTGAGATTTTTTGTACATTGTCTCTTCTACTAGAATTCAGAGGAGAAAAAGGTTTTGTAGGTTCATCTACTTGGGAGCAGAATCAGGGATAGCAGTTAAATATGTATATCCCAACAGCTCTGGGGTATGTTTGTACTTTGCAAGAGGCTCTTGATGGACTAGTCCATTATCCAAGGCCCTGTGTGGGACTAGTCCATTATCCAGACCCTCCCCCTCCAAGGAAGGGGGTATTTGAAATTGCTCCTTAGGAGAAATGCTGAACTGTGAAGCCACAGAGCTTAGGAAACTATTTTTTTCCAATTAGACCATTTATTTTGAAAGCTCCACAATGGATTTTGTACCTTGTTCTGAGAAGGCTAGTAGTGCCATCCTTCAGAAATGATTCACAAATAGCCCATTATAGATAACACTATGCTGAGTACTGTCAAGTGGGAACCCCTTTGGAACCTTCAAGAGCCCAGAAAAATATCTTGAAAAATTGAAATTTCAAACATAAAATGTAAACTAAAAGTACCTTCTCATAACATTTCAGAAACAAGGTAAATTTTAACATGTTTCATTCATTTATTCTTAATTTATACTGCCGTTTCTTAGAGGTTTTTAAGTTATGTGTCATAACAAACATTACTGATTTGTAATTAGTACATTAATTATCCATATTCATTCCTTCGTTAATTTATTCAGCAAACATTTACTTTCTTCTCCGAGATGCTTACAAGCCCTATTCTCCTAAGCATTTAATATATTCACACTACAATCTTGTTTACACAGTTGAACTTCATTGTTTATGAAATAGGGGGTTTGTTAAGCTTCTGCACAGCCTTATGCTGTGCGTTACAGGTGCTGGCTTCTTGATTCATAACATGCCCCTGGTTCCATCCTCTAACATTTACTGTCATGTGACCTACTAATGTACATGTTGACTTTAGCTAATGAAGCCATTCAGTTTAAGGATAGCGATAACTTTGCTAAATGATATTTTCTTCAATGTACAAGTTAGTCAAGGACAGCTTCTGGCCTCTAAGAGCCTTTGGAAGCCAAGGTTCTTGGGTGTATGTTCTAGGGAGGGCATTAGCACTTCCAATGTCCTTTTGCAGACTTTGGTTTTCTTGGAGGTCTGTCTAGAAGGGGTGCTAAGGGATATGCTTGCATCTGCCCTGGGCTCTCCTGCAGGCTTAGTAGCAGGGAGATCTGGCAGGTTTACTCTTCTCCATTGCTCCAGTGCCGCTCAGCAAGTTGCACACTGTTTGGAGTTTTTGGTCATGTTCGTTATTAATTTATTTTCTTTTCAATAACCTTCCATTTACTTTTGGAATTCGTTTTCAGTGTTTAGACTGGACCTCACCATGTGTCACTGACTAGTGTGGACTTAGTCTTTAGGCCAGGTTGTCATTGAACTTATAGAGTGACACCTGCATTTGCTCCCTGAGTGCATCACCATGCCCAACCCTGAAGGTTTTTGTTTTGTTTTGTTTTTTAAATGACCATTTTACTACATATGGTACCCAGCATGCTTATGGCCATACAAACTGTAGTGACTATTAAGCTATCTATACCCAATAGAAAGAAACTTGCCTAAGTGTTGGACAGTCTTAATGCCCTTACAAAATGTTTCCAAAAGATACAACCTGTAACATTCTAATCATTTTTATCCATGCATGTCAGATAACTCAGATTTCTGAAGTAGCTACAACAAAGAGGATGTTTAGTAGCAAGTGATACACACAAACACTGAGACTTCAGGGAACTTGTGTCTTCTGACCGATTACTGGATTACATAAGAATGTGACCAGAAGACTAGTGACACAGCTCATAAACCTGGGCTCCACAGGAGGGAGTTACTCCAGTTTGAAGTGGAGGATACATCTCTGTTGTAGGAGGCTGGCAGATTGTTCACATTCCCTGAGACAATCAACTACCTACGTCTAACACATTCCCTGCTTCCCATGTCACATAGACCAAATACATTTTAAGGCATGTGGCTACTGTGAGGTAAGAAATTCCATATTTGTAAACCTCTGGCATACTTCAGGCCACAATGAACATCAGTACTGTACCTGTCTAAATAATTCAAATACCCTTTACATTCAGCATAAGAACATTTTCTGTATAGAGAAGGTTTAAGTATATCAAACAGTTTAAACAGAACAATTAGCCACTTAGCAGAAGGCAGGGTCTCCAGCAGTTTAGAGCCGAGACCCCCTCCTGTATGATTAGACCTTCTGTGTTTTAATAAAGAGAGATCTTCTCTGTGTAGTCCTTGCTTAGTTCTCAGCAGTAAAACACATGCCTCCTTACCGAACTTTCCTAAGAACATTTAAAGATAATCTTGGCCCGACAGATATTAAAATAAAATCAAATAGATAAACATACATTTTAATGTTATTAAAAGCTCTGGGTAAGGGAAAATTCTGGAAAATTAGTGAACCTTTGGAGTCCTACATTCATCTGAGAGAAGTTAGGAGAGGCTGTGGCAAAGCAGATTGTTTGTTGAAGTGGATTTCAAGGGCTCCAGAAATCTTATCACCAAGTCCCCACACACAGTACACTCTCCATAGAGCTACTGAGGTTTGGGGGCTCAGCTGGCCTCCCACACTGCCCCTTGACACCGGCTGCCTAGTTCTTCACTTTGCGTGTTGTCTTTATCCTTGATTTTACTCCTGCAGTTACAGCAGTTTGGAAAAAAAAAAAAAAAATCTTCCTTGCACCTTCTCCAAAGTCCACTGTTAGGTATGGCTTTTTCATAGGTTTTGTTTTTGACCATTCAAGTCACTACTGTCCTTTCTTCCTGCAAAACCTACAGAATATATTTGTTGCACTACTCTCTGGGGCAGTTTTGCTGCTGTCTACATTGCTGGGGTATTTTTATGTTTGTACAAGTGTTTCTTATGCTCTACATACTGCACTGTATGTTTATTGAAGGCTATTGATGTGGCTGAGAATATTTTGTATTCAGTGCAGTGCCTGCTTGTAATGGGCACAGGCAATAGCCTGCCTGCCTTCCTTCCTTCTTTTTTCTTTCTTTCACATATATATTTGTGCGTGTGCATGCACGTACACTCAAGCAGAGGCCATCGGCCAACATGGGATCTGCTATCATTCTTCACCTTATGTTTTGAGGCTGTAACTGTCTGTCGTTGAACTTGGCTGGTCAGGGAGCCCCTGAGGCCCTCCTTTCCATACTCCACTCCCACCCCCACCCCCACGGCATGGGAGTTACAGGTACATGCTGCCACACTTCAGTTTACATGGATGCTGAGGTTCCAGACTCAGATCTTCTTGCTTGCACAGTAAGGACTTTATCCACTGAACTATCTTCTCAGCCCCCAGCCAATAGATTTTTAAAGAATAAATTCCCATCAATAAGTTTCATTTGTTTTTGTCTACTTTTAGCACATTTTTAAAAACTGTTCTGTTTCACCAACTACCCCCTTTCACCAAAGGAGGATTGTAAACAAAGAGAGGGGGCTCACATCTGATTAATACACTGTGCAGTAGGCATGATGCTGGGCTCTCACTACTCCTATTTCTTTTATTCCCAGATAACCTTATTGCTGGGTTTCCATCTTATTGTCTGGAAACTGAGGCACATCTGGTGTAAGTGTCAGAGGGTTTGGACTGAAAGTCTTTTTGTCCTTATTATACCATATATGGAGTGGCAGTACAATGAACATTCACTTATAAACCCTTTCTAAATGTAGATTTGCAAAACACTTTGCATTTTATTTCATATTTATAAGCTTTACCCATTCCTGCCCTAATTGTAGATGTACTTAAATCAGATTATACACATTGTGGTTTTATTTTTGTTTATTTTGAGACTTGTTGTCACTATGTACATCAGACTAGCCTCAGACTTGCTATATAGTCCAGTCTTGCCTTGACTTCTCTATTCTCCTGCTTCAGTCTCCCTAGTGCTGGAATTACAGGTGTATGACACCAGAAATTGCTAACTGTCATGATTTTCAGTTCATTCTAATGCTGTAGTTCAGTGAAAGCTCCTTGCTTGGTTCTAAGTAATAGGGATCATTTGTTCTTCTCTGCCTACATCTACAACCCAGGGAGCGACAGATGCAATGATTTCTAAGAGAGTGAATGAAGAAGATTGGGTAGTGTGAGGAGGGGAAGTGGTACCCTAGAATCTAGTGTGAGTGTCTGGAATGCCCAAACTTGACTTGAGGATTTGGAGTCTTACCTGTATCATAAAAGGGTTATCACATCTGCAGGTAAAAGGAAGCTCTTGCCCAGAGCCATGAAAAGAATTAGTGGTTTTATGTCTGAATGGAGATAACCATGACTAGCACTTATAACATTTCTTTAAAATTTTTTTATTCCTTAGCACCCATAACCCAGGGAACTGGAGTCAACTTTCCAATTGGAGAAATTCCCAGCCAGCCATACTATCATGACATGAATTCTGGTGTGAACCTGCAGAGGTCGCTGTCTTCTCCACCTAGCAGGTAATGACAGTGATGCTGCCTATGCTTTCACCCTTTATGCAGACAGACAAGTAAACAGGAAGTACATATTCTACTGATAATTCAGACTTTGAATTTTTGTCAGAATCACTTGTTTTGATAGTCTCATATTGAATGTAATTGCTGTTCAAAGCGCCTTTAACATTTTTGGGGGTCATGGGGAATGAACAATGAAACTGTATTAATGAGATTTTGTCTCATGGCATGAAATATAATTCTGCAGATTAATCTTTTGGCAACTTTAGAAGTGGTACTGGGATTTAGAAAGATGGCTCAGTAGTTAAGAGCGCTTGTTACTCATCCAGAGGACCTGGGTTCCATTCCTAGCACCCATATGATGGCTCATAGCCATACGCACAACCATATGGAAACTACATCATTTTCTGACTTCCATGGACACAAGGCATGCACATGGTACACAGATAGGCAAAACTTTTATACATTTAAATAAATAAACCTTAAAAACATGTAGGTAGTATTGCTTCAGTGACTCCTCTTTGACAGCCAATGTACCCTGATGACCTTCACTGTAATACCACATCTGCACTTGAGATAATGAAAGACAAAATCATGCACCCCCCATCCTTATAATTAAAGCTTGATTCCAGACTGTAGTGTTCAATTACTTGAGGTTCTCTGAGTAAATCAGTTAGCAATCCTAGTATCAACAGAAGCTCCAGCTGCTCTGACACTGGCTTAGGCAGCCTGTGCTGGGATTGATGGAGAATAAGTTTCCCTGGGTTATCCCCAGAGAATAAGTTCTCTGCTTACATGTTTCCTTTCTTTCCTGTCCTTGTACCTTCCATTCAAGATAAGTGTTATAGATGTGGTTTTCTCCCATTTTGAGTTGTGTCTCTCACAAATGAAGACCTATCTCATTCTCATTTCTAGAGCATTCAGTGTATCCACAGACTACCATAGGAATGTATATGGATTCCAAAAAATCATGCATTATGTTAATTTTTAAAAATAAAAGACAATCTGGAAAAGTTTTTTTTTTCTTTTAAGGTTCTTTTCAGTAATGAATATCTGTGGGAACATCCATATTTATGTTTATAAAGTAAAGCTGATTTTACAACATTTATGGCCTGGCTGTATTTTCATGTAATTAGATTGTATATCAAGATAATTGGGTTTATTATCACTGAAATTATCTCTGATATGTTGAAGCCTTAAGAGTGCTTTAGTTTTTGTAAATTTAAAAATGTGAATTAGGATTTTTAAATTTCCTCATTGGATCTGGTTGTTGTCAGCACCAGTCTTTTGTCATGGCCAACCTTTGTCCTTCAAAATAAGCAGAGCGTAAAGACATTTCTCTGTTGCTCCTTGTGGAATTTTTTTTTTTGTATACTGCTGCTGATTCATAGTGGAAGAGAATTACATTAAAGGGAGATTTTTTTTTTTTTTTAAAGCATAAGCACCAAGTGTGGATACTTTTGGTGGAAACTAAATAATATAATTTCTGCTCAGCTTTAGCATGGGGAGAAATTGTCCTACTCAATCATGTCAGTACTCCAGGGGTCATCACAGTGTATCTCCAAATACATTGGTACGTGCACAGTCTTCATGGGTTTACCCATGCAGATAGCTAAACCTGGCTGGGAAACCTTCCTCCTGGGGTGGCCCCTTCTGTTCACTTGTCCTGGAAAAAGTCACTGAATTTCTCCAGATTTGTCCGCCTATTGGCTTGCATGTACTTTTTTGAGATAATTTACAGTTTCAAACTGTGGTGACATTATATTTGTTAACAGTGAATAAAGTTAATTCAGGTGGTATTTTATAGTTGATGCATAAGAACATAGGTATACGTAAGAGCCCTTTAAGTAAAAGACACAGTACTCATTTCAGAGTCTATCATTAGATGTGTACTGGGGCATTAGTTGGAGCATACCAAAGAAGAGTTTGCAAAAATATCATTCATGTCATAATACAGTTTTTAATCTTTGCTGTAGATACCTACTTTTCTTTGTAATAAAGTAAGCCATGTTTTTCCATCCAAAATATTTTCTAAAACCATACCATTTGATTTGGCCATAATCATTTTTCATGGTTGATCTTATGCATAAAGGACCAGTAGCCCGAATTCTTTAGGGAAAAGTTAAAGGACATGGAGTGCTTAAAACTAGTAAAGTTCTAGCAATGGTCTTCATATTAATAATTACAAGGTCAACACTAATAATTAATATTTAATAAGTATCTTCAAACTGTAAGCCAATTAACTGAGAGCTTTATGGTTATTAGTTCACTTCATGTTCTCCACCAAACCCTTTAACTAGGTTTTATTATTTCCACCTTATAGGTGATTGGCTGAGCTTAGAAAGGGTGAGGAACCTGCCATTGGATCTAATAAATGACTTAGTCAAAATGAGGGATTTCTGAAGCTGTTTCACCGTCTTATCCCCCAATTAACAGCAAAACATTGCATTGTCTGTGGCAAATGCTGTGGACTGAATAGTATTAATATAAAAAAATGTAAGATGAATCAGTGTATCTTTACAAAATTTTAATGTTAGCAGAGAGGACATATTGAAAGTTTACTTGTAATGACTGAAGTTTCTCTGAAAAAAAAAATCTGAAAAAGTAAATATACATTAGGTAGGGATAGGGATAGATGATATATGTAAAGGATTGGTAGTATATGTTCACTATTCCTGTGGGTGACTTGAATACTCGCCATTCTTTCAAACTATCACTTGGATTTTTGGAAGTCATTTTTTTTTTTTCAATCAAGACTTTTTTTGGTGAATGTTACACATCTTTCCCGAAATACTATTAATGCCATTATTATTATATTTTAACAGCAAAAGACCCAAAACTATATCCATAGATGAAAACATGGAGCCAAGTCCTACAGGAGACTTTTATCCATCTCCAAATTCACCAGCTGCTGGAAGTCGAACATGGCATGAAAGAGATCAAGGTGAGTAAGAAGATGCCTTTAAAGGACATCAGAGTGTGTAGCGTAGCTGATTTCATGTGGCACATAGTCACCATTTCCTAAGGTGCCAATATAGACCACACAAGATAATTTCAATAAAATTATTTCTAAGATATTTTTTTTGAGAGTGATCAAATGCTACAGAAATCCTGTTTTTCATACCATATTTTCAGACAAAATAAATAGTATTTCAGAGTCCACTATTATATATGCAACTGACTTGGGTCCATCTAAACTGGATGGTAGAATGACAACAGAGTGGCAAGTTCGGACTCAGTGAATTTCCATTATCTCTCTATGAGCATGTAGGGAGGAGCAAACTAGGCAGTTGGCAGGTGTGAGATACTGAGAACTCTCACTTAAAGTAGGTAGAGCACAGATAACAGACAAAAGTAAGACTCTGCATCTAAGTTAATCTAGTTGCTTCCAAGGTAGTACTATGGCTCAGTTCTAGGACAGTCGAGGAGAACAATAATTTTACATGTCTGATTTAGCTTCCCAAGATCTGACTTGGTTTTTATTCTTGAAGTATATTGGATTTCCTGTCTTTTTTTTTTTTTAAAAAAACACATATTCATGCCTTTGTGCATGATATGGAGATATTAAAGATGAGGTAATAGATAAATCAGCTAGTTAAAAAATGTGTTAGTTTGTCTGAATATGTATGCAAATAGGTTTTTTTTATAGTAATACCATAAAATATATTTTTAAGTTTCTTTAAAATCAAATTCTGTATGTTTAAATATATAAAAGGGGTGTGTTCTTCACTGATGGTTTTCGGCCTAGGACTTAGGTGTGTCTGTGGGCTTGGGGAGCTGAATGCAGAGACAGCTGACCCTGGGGCATAGCTTTTATAGCCAACATCACTTTCTTACTAGGATTTCCTTCTTGCTAGCCAGAATTTCTTATGATTTGTAGAAGGATGAGGCCTTCATGGGGGAACTGGGTACCTAGTGCCTATAAAGACCAGAGAAGGCATCAGATCCCCTGGAACACCAGTTACAGATAGTATGCTATATGGGTGTAAGTGCTCTTTGCTGATGACCTATCTCACCAGCCCCACATTGCAGAGTTTAACTAGTAAAGATGTAGGAAACAGGCATAGTTACATGGGAAGAACCAAAGCAAGGCCGGGCGCTGAGGGGAGGAAGCAATGTCAGAATGACCATTTGTGCTATGAGAAAGAGAGTAAGGGTGTGAAGGTTCCTTTTATAGAAGGATTGGGAAATAAGCTGGAGAGTTTAAGCTTTGAAACTCTGTCCAAATCCATTCTTCAGACAGTAGACACAGTTTATCTGAAAGCAATGTTTCAGTCTTCTGCTTCATCTCCATCAGTAACTCCCCAGGGCTCTCAGGAGAAAATCAGCTGTCATTCATTTGACCATGGGCTCACACTCTGCTTTTCATTCCTACTGGCATCTGGGCCTACTGCTTTATTTGGAGTTTGGAATGCAATGCCCAACAACTGACAGGCCATGCCTTCTGAAGTGGTCTCTCATAGCTCTTCATCTGGCAAATCTGTTGATATCCTTAGTGGCACATGATCCACTGAAGAGTTTCAGTATAAATTTGCCTTTTCTGCTCAGTCGCTGCATTCATAATATATAATTCTATATTTATTTATTTGAGGAATTGTTTAGGTGCATCTATACCATGAAGGCAACTGTTTTGACCATGGCTGTCATTCTCACCAAAGGCAACACTGATGCATAGTAGGACCATAGTAAATTTGATCAGGTAAATGAGTCACTGATAGGCATCTAGTCTCATTAGTGAAGGCAAGAAATAACAGAGCTAATCCACAGATCTTCATGCTTTATTCCTTGTTTTACTGACATTGTCACTTCATTCTAAACAAAGCTGTATTTTCTCTTGTCAGAAAATTATCCTGGGACAAATCCTAATGGTAGTAATAACAACACTGAACACTTATGGATGAGTGTGTTGTTTAAGTGTAGGTGTTCTTTATTATAGAGTGTCACTCTGAAAGAGCTGATTTCCCTTCCAGCTATTCAGCAAATCCAATCTCACAATGTATTATAAAACATTTTTGAAAAGTAGAAGGGAAACTGTCATTCTTTCTCATTGTAGAATCATTGCATTGTCTTGATGATTTTCTATTGTCAAGATGACTAAAACTATCAGAGTAGGCTGTAAAAGCAAATTATAGTAAGAGTAATGGGGAATGTTGAATTCTCATGTGTTGCTTAAAAACACCTGTCACCTGAACTTTGAAGACTCTGAGCTTTTGTAATGTGCACAATAAGCCATTGAGGGAAGAAGGCTTCAACTACAGTGAAAAAACCTGAGGACAGGATAGGACCATCTTCACAAACTTGCTAAGCTCAAGGTGGTGCTTTTGTTTTTAGAAAGAAATCCAGTTTTTAAATTTGCAAAATCAAATGCCCCACGATTGTTCTTGTCCATCTTCATAACATTCTTTATCTATCCTTGTCTGCTATGAAGGAGTTGTCTAAGGTACTCCTTAGTGAACACCATTTGCAATGCAGTATTGTGCTGGCATCTCATAGTCATTTTTCACATATTGTGGTACTCAATAGTACTCACTGGTTGATCATCACAGGATGCTGTTTTTAATTGGCAGAAATGCTTAAATTTATTGTTATTCCCTGAATATCTGCCTTAATGATTATTAACTGTCTGTTAAAATTTCTTCTGGCCAGCCCTGTCAATGCTGAATTTTGAAATACTAGAATGAAAAATGATGAAATTTTGGACTTTTTTTGTTTTTTTCATTCCAAGGCAAAAATAAAGGCTGTAATGTGACCAAGTTATTATTCCTGTCTTATTTTTAAAAGAATTTAAACAAAACATTAATACCAAATCTATCTTTCATGTGTTAATGTATACCTGTGTAGTTTTTAGTAATATGTTATAAAACATTTTTGTTTTTGCATATTGAAGTCATAGTTGTATATTGCCTTTTCTTTTCAAAGCACATTTTCCAATTATAAAAATTAGTTTTTATCTTTGCAAAGGTAGACAAGATTATTTTAAAACTAAATATTATTTAAATGTTTGAGAGAGAAGGATGTAACTTGCTTAACTATCTTGTCATGCATAGTGATAGAAATTAGATTTGTCAGTATTGATTCAAATGAAGAAGTAAGTGATAGTGGTCACGAGGAACAGAGAGTAATGACTATGTTCCTTTCCTAAGGTCTGGCTAGAACATTGGCTTTGCGTATTCTCTCCTCTGGACCTGTAGGTCTGAAACTTGCAATTGCTTCATTTTCATTTTTGTTGGTGGGGGCATACTGCACAAGAACTGATGCTTCTGTTCAAGCACTCTACCCCTGAGCTACAAACTCATAACTAAGTATTTCATTGTGGTGTGTTTTTCACCATTAAGATCTTAGTGATTAAGTTCATAACACATGATTATGATTCCAATATTTATCCACAAAATGGTCTCCTGATAATTTGTCTACATTTAATTTTACCTCTCTGAGTCCATTGAGAAGCTTGCTTCTTAGTTGGCTCCTCTCGAAAGCACTAGAAAGATCCTTTGTAACTTCTAACACAAGATGAAAATTTATGCATGTCATGGTGTTTTTCTCTGGTTCAGGTTACTTTCATGAGATCAAACCTGGTTGTATTCTAATGTCCACTAATTAAGCAAACCGCTTACAACATTGTTGAAAATTTCTGAGTGGAAAATTTAATGGCTCTCAATCTGATAAATAATAAGGCAACTTATGACTTCTCATGTAGTAAAATTTATGTATTTGGGACTAAGATCTTTGGCACATTTAACATTTATCAAATTTCTATCATATGACAAGACTTTTTATAGGAATTGGGCACACAGATATGATTAAGAAAGTTGCTAGCCTCTAACCTGCTGAATAGAAAAATAATTGTTATTTATGAAAAATGGCTTAATCAAAAATAAGTAAGGAAAGTGGGCTACAAAAGATTTTCTTTATGCTTTGGGTCTAAATTACTCTTGAAGTGCCATGAGGTATAAATCTTTACACAAAATCAGTAAGGTGGCATTTTAGAATAACTGACACTACCTATATACTGATCCATAATTAGAATTATTTACAAATTCAAACTGAACTCTTGAAACTAATTAGATATCACATTCTGATTGCAACAAGTTCTAGAAAATACAGTTACTAATTTTTTAAAAAATATCCAGCAGCAGACAATGTAGCTCAGTGGTGCATAGAGTGCTGGCTGAGCAAACACCAGGCCTTGGGCTCGGTTCCCAGCACCACACACATGCACACAATGTATACATTAGGTTGTATAAATAAGCCTCTTCAGTAAGTCTCTCTGAAGTTTGAGTGTATGTGTAAGTTCCTGCCATTAACTTCGCAAATATTTTCCTCAGTGAAGTCCCCTGGGCTCTAACCTTCAGTTTGTGCATTCTAAAGCTCTCTGAGGAGATAGTGTTTGCTTTCAACACATGAACTCAAGCAAAGGACCTGTAGGAAGAGTGTGAGCTGAAGACTAAGATGCAAGGGCTCTATGTTGAGCTCAGTCAGGAAGTAAGTAGGGTTACATGGAGATGGAGTAAGGTAACATAAGAGAACCAGATTCCAGACCAGGACTGTTCAACATGAGTCAAGGAGTGTTCACCGATGTTCCAGATATGAGTAGTCTGGAAAGTTCTGTTTTAACTCAATTTAAAATTTTTTCCTCGGTGAATGAATATGTAGAATACTTAATATACTTTTGTGCGATGTTACTCTCCAGGAGACTGCTGACTTGATTAGACTGGTGTACTTATGATGTGTGTGAATTCAGAGACCTCCCTCCCTCCTGCACAGTGGGAGGAGCTAGAAGGAGCATTAAGTCCAGAATTGGGAAAGTGCCAGAGCCCAAACTCCTGTTTGATGAGGGCTGGAATCTCAAGGTTCCTGTGAGCTGTGGGAGCTGAGTGAACCCACAGCTTTCATGCTTGGCTGGGTAGCTGTTCTCTGAGAGTCATTAACGTTAAAAGCAGTCCT